TAAGAGAAGTCATGTGTTGAAATTAATGTCCTATTACAGTAACAAGGAGGAAATGGTTTCTTTGTACACAGAGCAGTTTGTCTTGTCCTCTATTTGAAATACATTAAAATATAAAAGTTGTCTGGGGACAGTCTAGACAGCTGAGGCTGACTGGCTATCTGGAGCTTTCAGGAAACATGTTGTTCTGAACAGCTGAATTTTCTTACTTTTTAAAATTTTTGTATTGTTCAAATACATTTGTCTACATTTTCCCGCCACCACTTTCCCCAGCCCCACCCACCCTCACCTCCCACCCCTGAACAGCTGACTTTTCATAATTGTTAGGGTTCAGCACATATATTCACAAATGTTCAAAACTCTACCCTTTTTCAGTGGACAATTTTCTAATGTGTATCTAACCGCCGTATCTTAACTAGCGTGCACTGAACCTGCGCAAGCCCTGGCTTCAGGATCCAGGAGTCTCAGCATTTTCATCAGAGTTCGCACTCTGCTACGCTTCCGGCCTCTTGTGCTATGTTTGCCCCAATACAAAATCTTCCCCAGCGGCGGTGTTTGTTTTACATTGTCTTTTTGTGTCATCATTCTGGCAGCAACAATTACTTCTCATTCCTGTCCCCACAGCAGCCCCTTGCAGCCCCTGTCGGCTCTCCATTCTTGTCTCTCCACTTCCTATAATTCAATAATTTACTTCTTATTACTTTACCCATTTTCTGTAGGCTGTTAAGCAGAACATCACCCTTGTTAGAATCCTTTTTAAACCAAGAAGAACCTAGGGTTCCGTAAGAAAAAAATACATAAACGTCTGCTGGATGGGGACTTTTGGACTTCTTTTTATTTTTTATTTTTTAAAAATGTGTTCTAGGTAGGTGAGTTAGCCAGGCAGCTGAGTTGTTAAAATGAAGTTAGTTAATTTATTGAAACCAGAACCCTAATTCAGTTGTCTGATGACTCCTGATGTTTTAATTGATAAGGCACACAACTTCCATTCAAAAAAAAAATCTTGAAGAATTTTAGTTATGAACTTTGACCTCACCCAGTGGTGAAAAGCTAAATTCTAGCAGCAGTTGTGCTATAGCTCTTCAGGCGCTGAGAAGCAGGTGTGTAAAGCAGTGAGGTGCATTTCCTGGGCTCACACAGTGAAACCCCTGGGGAGTAAGAAACACTGAGTTATATTCAGTTTCTCTTTAGTCACCAAATAACATTTCCTCTTTGGTTGGCAAAGTGAAATTAAATAAAATATTGAAGGTTGTTTCTTTAACAAAGATAACCCCAGTTAGTGAATGTGATGGTTAATTTCATGTGTCAACGTGGCTGTGCAAGGAGGTGCCCAGATTTTTGATCAAACATTATTCTGGGATGTTCCTGTGAGAGTGTTTCTGGGGTGAGTTTAGCGTTTGAATGGATAGATTGAATAAAGCAGATTACTCTTCCTAGTGTGGGTGGACCTCGTCCAATCAGAGGAAGACCTGCATAGAACAAACATTTAACCCTCCCAGCAGTAGGGGAGAATTCCTAAATCTTGAGCTTGCTGGCCTTCAGACTAGATCTAATACATCGTTCTCCTGGATCTTCAGTTTTGCCAATTCACCCTGCAGGTTTTGGGACTTGTCAGACTCCATAATCATGTGAAGAATGAGCCAATTCCTTATAATAAATATCTCTTTTCATATATATATATAATAAAGGAAATATATAATATACAGAGTGGGGTAAAAGTAGGTTTACAGTTGTTTGTATAGAAAATAATACAATAATTAGTAAATAATAACACAAGAATAAACCGTGTTTCACATACAACAGTAAACCTACTTTTGCCCCACCCTGTGCATATCCTATTGGCTTTGTTTCTCTGGGAAACCCTGACTAATACAGTGGACAGATTCTAATGCCAAGTAATTAAAAAAACAAAGCCAAACCCCAAAGCAAGAAAATCTCCTTTTGGAAGGCGTGGCTATACAGAATTTATAAAGAATTATGGATTTCTATTGACTAGAGAGAATCAAATTTCAATGTTGAAAAAATGCCAGGGCTGAGATTCTAAATTTCTGGAAGATAGGTACTATGCCAGTTTTGCTTTACAGTTCTGGTACAGTCAATAGAGAGACAGGAATGAAAAATTTTCACTGCAGCAACATTATCCGATGGTGATGTAAGAATGATGGCCACCGATAAGCCTTGGGAAAGGAGTGTTGTCACGATAATGCAAACAAGGTAGTGTGCGGGACAGTCAGCAGTGAGAGAATTTCTTGATCTAAGTCCAAGCTGAATAGAGATCCTTTCTTCTTGCTGGTATGACAGAGGTGGGCTTACTCAGCATTGACCTTGGGCCCAGGTTTTTATCCCTGTTCTGGACCTTTACCCCGGTCTTCTTGCCTTTCAGGATTCTTCTAGCATCTGCCCTAAACACAAACCTCTTCTGTGTCTCATCTCCACCTCATCCTTGATGTGCCTTATTTTCTTTCGTCCAATAAAGGAAGGAAGGTGGAGCTGTGCCTTCTCTGGCAGCCAAACATCTCAGGTCCTGGCTTTAGGCTCCACCTCCCATACCGTCCACTACCCAGAGTCACACAGCTCCTTCCAGGGCTGGCTTCATTATTCCTGGGCGCTGGAGCCATCTATAAGGTGACACTTGCCAATCCGGGAGTTTACAGCAGTTTTGCGTTGGTGGCCCGGGAGAAGCCAGCCTGTACTGTTGTCTTCTGCCATAAAGATGGCATTAACCACCTCTCTTCATTCCCTGAGCATGAGCATGGCTGAAAACACAGAAGTGCAACTTGCTTGTCACACGTGGATGTAGTTTGCACTCACTAGTTGAGAAGCTTTGCTGTCATATGGAAATTGCCAGCATGCAGAGCTCTGCTTCCTGTTCGTGCAGACCAGCGTGACATTTAGGCTCAATGGAGTCCCTGTCATGGGTTGCCACACAAACACTGGTGCTGTCATTTCCTGGCGGTGAACAATTACTCCACATGGCCTCAGGAGGCTCTCACAGAGTTCCTGTGGCAGCTGAACCAGTTCTCAAAAGGCAAATGCACAGCTAGAGTGAATCTTTTGGAGAAGATGGGCAAGAACAAAGTCAGTGTGGTTTATTGGAAATAAACCCAGGAGCATAGCTACACTATTTTGATAGTACAGGAACTGGTCCCCACCCACTCTCCACTTAGTTGTCACACGCCTACACATATATGACTTCCTGTCCCTTCCCTAACTAACACTATGAGGTGGGGAAGGTGACAGCAGTTGTCTCGATTTTTCCATAACCACTGACCAGCCTGGCCACATAACACCATCTGTCTACTGGACACCACCACAAACCCTCAGCCACCCACCTAATCAGTTGTCTTTCTAGATTTTTTTCCACTGATGTGCACAGCGTTCTTGGCCCCAACTCGAATCTTCAGTACCTCAATTTCTTCACTATTTAAATGAATTTAATAATGACCAATCCAAGCTGAATTCTATATCCTTAGAAGACAAGGTGTTACATTGGTGCAAAACAAATTTCTTCAGACGTATAATGAAAATAAATAGATCTTAGTAATTCATGAGGTATCTAACTACTATTTATTTTATGTCTAGTTTGTGTACATAATCGTGCTATGTACTCACTGTGAAGGTTTTGCAACAGATTATATACATTGCTCAGGAAATTTGTGTCTTTGAAAAGTTAAGAAAAATAGTTATTTCATATTTTTAAGTAACAAATGCCTATTCAATATTTGGGATGATTTTAAAAATAGGCATTTAGATGCACCAAAGAGATAAAAAGTGAGTGACTTCCTTCAGATTTCAGGTTTTGGAAGGACTAGATACAATGTTAGTAATAAACAATGAGGCCCTTTCTCTCCTATATTCCCCCCCTTCCGTTCCCGCCTAAGTAAAATAAAGACAACAGTTAGAATCTCTAATTTCACAGGCCTCTGAATTTCAGCGGGTGCATACCGCCACAATTAAATGCTTTCTGAATTTTTTGTTGCTTTCCCTTCGGCAGCGAGTTTCATTTCGCTTAGTATCTTCACAGCAGAGAATTCGTTTCTGTGGGCCAATACATTTGTGTTTAGTAGGCACAGCTATCTCCTAATAACCCTCCCATCCTCATACTAGTGGTTTTTAAATTGTTCAGGATTTTAGAAACACCATAACCTCAGCGTATTAAATATTAAGGGACTCCAGATTCCCAGAGCCTTAAAGTTAGGCTATGCAAATCTGCACGAGTGTGTTTCCATGGTGCCGAAGAAAAGTTATGGCAGGGTTTTGTGAGGCAGCATTGCTGTGAGCGTCACTCCTGCCACTGCCTTTCACAAGGGCCCACTTGCAGTGAAATATTTTGAAAACAGAGCTGAAGTGGAGATAACGCAGAGCGCGAACAGGCGGAAATAAGAATAAACTGAGCGTGTCTGGCAGAAAGCGGGAGGGTGGCAGTTTATGCAAAGGAAGAGGATGCGTGGTAAACAGGGAGAAAAATAACCACCCGGGGACCGTTCTTACGAGCCCTCCTGAGGTCGTTTCCCTCGCCCCTCGGGGTGGAGGAGGTTCCCAGGGCTGAGGAAGCAGCCCCCCCAAAACCGTTTCCGGGACTGCAGCCTCTCACCGCACGCCCCCGGGGAGCAGTGCCTTCTCAGGCCACGATTCCCCGCGACCCAAAAATAACTGCACAGATGTAAGGAAAAGGGCCAAAGCCTGCGGCACTGGGGGGTGCTTAGTTACAGCCTTATCGCTTACAGCCAGAAAGCTAGAAACCCAACCCAGCGCCAGGCTTTTATAGAGGGTCCCTGGAGCCCCGCCCTAGCAACTTCCCCTAGCAACGCCTCGCCCGGGTGCTCCGCGGTCTTATCGGCCTGTTCCAGGCTCTTCCGGTTCCCCTCCCGCTGCCAGCTCGGCTCCGCGGGACGGATCACGTGACCTGTCCCAAGGGAGGGGCGGGGCGAGCGGACGACTCGTGGGGGCGGGGCGATTACGTCGTCAAGAGGCGCCGACCAGTTGTGGCGCTTGGGCACCGGGAATCTCAGTTTCCGGGACGAGGTGAAATGGCGGGGACGGTGGCTCTGGTGTGGATTCGCGGTCCCGGTTTCGGGTGCCGGGCGGTGCGGGCTGCCTCAGCCCCCTGCTCCGTCCGAGACTTTATCCACCACCACTGCCAAGATCAGGTGAGATTCGCGGTTCCCGGAAGGAAGGGGAACGAGGGGGACTGGGAACAGGAGTGGGGGCGGAGAGGGACTGTCTGGAGTTTTTCGGGTTTTCAGCCTGAGTGTTCCTCAGTTTTAAGGTGCTTCAAACTGGTGCTGAGGCCTGCTTTTGCTTTTGTTTTTGGGTGATGTTTGTTTCGTCATCCCACGAAAAGGGGAAAGACTCCACTCCTAGACGCCTAGTCCAGCTCTCAGTCTGGCCTAGCAGAAATCACTTTGGTGGTGTTTTCTCACCCGTAAATGAGGCTGTTGAACCAGATGACTTTTAAGGCTCATTCCCTTACATTTAATTACTTTCATTCTCTGATTATGTGACGTGTATTTTGTCCACTAATCAAACATTCCAATTAGCTCCAGCCTAGAGAAGAAGTATGTCATAGCCAAACCCAGGAGAAAGGATGGTTGGAGAGGGAAATAGATTCATTTGGTCAGTCACTGGTTGGGACGGCCAAACACTCACGTGTCCTATGGAGGGAATGGGTGGTTAGGTCCTGTCATTTAGATGTTTTGACGGATCATTTGATGTCTCATTTCTCAATGCATATGTTTGAAAACCAGTCATGAACTTGTGAAGTTACATGTGTGGTTTTCTTAAGAAGAAAGCAAGCTTTTACCAGTTAAGATATTAAACCTGTTCAGTTATCTAACGAAATGGGTGGTCTCCCTGAATCTAATTTTAATGTCAGCACTTGATCTAGTATTGTTTTTCTTTGTTAACTCCACCTCATCCTTGCTTCCTTAGGCTGTTTCCTCTGCTTGTTACTTATAAGCTTAACCCATGTTACCACTGCGGTCGAAATTAAATCTTTCCTTGGACTGGTTCCCTGAAAAAGCAATGTGTATTTGCAAATAACATGTTTTTTTCAGCTTCCCCATTTTTCTTCCACACTGCAATCCAGTCTAAAAACTGTCAGAACTGTTTTTGACCCTCTAAATGTGGAAATATTATCTGCATAATTGATAATTGGATTTTAACATCTCTGAAAATAATTCCCCTCTCTTGAGTAGTTTTCAAACTTACTGACAGTCAGTCCAAGACCAGAAAATAATGGGATCTTAATTATGAGGACTCTGGGGAAAAATAATTTTTTATAAAAAATAAGTACGAAATATAAATGAATTTATATGATTCAGCCAGGTACTTAAGAAACATGACCGCGATAATAACACAAAGCTTGTAAAAGGGCATTTGATTAGAGACTAGAACAAATAAAAATAGCTCAGGTTCACACCCATGCTTTTTAAAACAAAACTTTTCTGATACCTGATAAGAGTGAGTGGTAGCTCCCTGCTGTTTATTTGGCGGGGATAACAGACTCAGATAAAGCCAGCTGCAAGGTTAGTAGGAAACAGTGTTTCTCCCAAGGTTATGGGCGTAGTGGTGAAATACCGCCAGTGGCTTGAAAGTCTGTCTTACTCATTGGGCGACCTTGATTTCGGAAATCACAGACTATAAGAAACTTTGTTGTTTGAAATTATGTTGGTAAGAATGAAGCATCCTACTCTTGCCTGAGAACCTGTCACTTAGATACAGGGCAGCACGTTTGATTTCCAGCCCAGGTGCAGGGGCTTCAGATAAGGCGTTCCTGACACAATATTCCACACTTACCAAGGAAATAGGAGCCTGGGTCTGCTTCCCAGCCTAGGCCAGATGTTGCCCTTTTTATAACAGCTCTGCTTTGTTTTGAGGCCCTCAAAACATTTTCATTTAAATTCACCTAAACCCCACCCTTCCCCCAAATCTTTAATATCTTTGTGTTGTTGTTGAGACACTTCATAATTCCTCTGGCGTGCAGGCCCCCTCCTTGCAATGAGTCAATATAAATGTGACTTTGATGAACTTCAGGTTTGTCTCTAGCGGCCTTCGGCTGATTGGGCTAAGACACACATAATACTTTGTGTTTGAAGTGCTTTATAGTACACAAGTGGTTAAAAACAGTTAAATTGATTCTAAATTCTCTTTGCTCTTTTCTATTAGATTGTTAATCAAAAAGAATCTTAACAAATAGAGAGTGTAGTTTTGTTGATCAGTTGTCTTGTTCAACAGGCAGTTCTGTTTGGAAATGAACCATGATCTTCCTGCCTTCATGTTAATGTCTTTTGAAGTTTTTTAGAGTTTTGGAAATACCATATCCATTCGGCATATAAAATAGTAAAAGAAACTAAAGTAGCTTTTAAATTACACACATTAAACAAATATGAAGTGTATTATATATCTTAATCTTTACAGCAGTCCTTTATAGCAGATAGTATTTTACAGACAGGAGTAGTCCTTCATATCAATCACATCACTGCACGTAGCCTGAGCTCCCTTGCCTCTCCTTCCTGCTGTCGCATTTGCCTGGAAAAACTGCAGGCAACTTAAACCACCTCTCCCTCCATTCTGGCTGGCATCTGGATAGTGGCTGTCCTAGGGAATCTAGTCACACAAATTGGTCTTTCTCTGAATTCACAAATACCTGTAGTATCTCAACACCTGGAAAGTACCTAGAAAATAGTAGGCCTGTTGTACCTACTATTTTCCTAGAACTAGTAAAATAGCACCTAGTGTTTGTTGAATGAATGAATGGTTCCCATTGAAATAGCTGTGTGATGTGGTTCAGAATGTTCATATTTTCCACTTCAGGAAGAGACCAGTAATGTATTTGTCCTTCTATTGATGTTGAGACCTCTTCGTTCTTGATACTGTAAATTTAATCATGTCCCTCCTAAGCCCCATGTAACTTTGGAGAATATTCCTCTATTGTCTTAATTTTACAGCATCAGAAACTTGTTCAGAAAGACTTAGAGTTTCTATCGTTTCTTCTCATCCCTTGACCTGAGAATTTCTGAAATGGACAGAGTGTGTTTGGGGTGGTTGGGCTTCTGCAGCATCAGCTGGGACGTGGGAGGATGCCAGCGAAGAGACGGTCCTGTCCTCAAACTGTTAAAGCTCACGTCAGTGCAGTAAAAACCACATCCATGTCTCCTTGCCTCCCCTCTTCTTACCCTTCCACCCACACTTTTTAGGATGTATATTTTTGCTTTTAAACTTGGGGCCACTCTTGATTTTATCTGTTTGAAAAAGTCAGAGGAGATACGCGTGGGACCTCCTGAGCTGCCGGATCTAGGCCCCTTATAGCCTTCTGCCTTGACTCCAACTTTTATTAGAGAAGGAAAAAGAGGCAGTTTTTATTTCCATCCAAAAGATGAAAAGTTCTTATATGTGTCATGATTAGGTATCAGAAAAAAATTGTACCCAGAATATGTCATATGAAATGACTCTTTTTCTTTTAGTATTCATTTTCAGTTAGACAAATATTTGTTGAACCCACACTACCTGCTTGTCACTGGAGTAATACAAAGGTGGTAAGCTAGGACCCTTCCTGCAAGGAACTTGCAATGTCTCATAAACAGCATTAAAAAAAAAATTTGTCTCCAGGATGTTCCAGTGGAATGCTTCTTTGTCAAACGTGACGGATTGCTCGTTGACACCAGTGACACAGTGCGGCATGGAGCTGTTTACAGTTTGGAACCCCGACTTCGCGGTGGCAAAGGAGGTGGGTAGTGCGTGCTGACTGCCTGTTTAGCTGTAACCCCGCTGCAGTCTTCAGCCCGATGTATTAAATTAAAACCCCTTGGTCTCGGGTACGCCAGCCTTATGAAATTCTTTATTTACCTACCTGGTTTTGAAGATCTCCTCTTTTGTTCTTTTTGAGGAAGATACTATATGATATTGTTCCCACCTTCTCCACCTGGGTAGCTCATAGGCATCCTAGGCGCTAAAGTTTTGGGAAAGTTAGATAAAGAGAGATGGTCATTATTCTGTCCAATTCTCCAAAGAAAGTGTGTAAAAGCAATCAGATTTACTTTTATCAAGATTTGGTCTCAGGTTATTTCTAAGGGAGGTCTAAAGTCACTGTGAAATACAACCGTATATATATATATATCGGGGTAGATTAAGGTTCTAGTTGTATTAACACATCTAAGAAAAGGGAAGAAACTAGACTAGCAAAATCTGAATACGAACAGTGCTTAATCATTCTCCTGATGCACTAAAATGCAACCCCTAAGCTTTCTCAAAATCTACAATGATTTGGTTGGTTTTCAGAGAGCTGACAGCTCAGATTATCCTGCCGTTTGAAACTGTGAGAGTAAGAATGAATTTTGTCACATCAGGCAGTGACGGCTTAAAAGTGCCTCTTAAACTCACTATAAAAGCTCACCGTATACTTTGTAAAGTTCTTAATCTGGGAATCTTGTGTTCTCTGGCCCTAGGTAAAGCTCTCTAAAATAGGTCAATGGTGCAGGTAAAATATTTCCGAAATAGAAGAGGAAGCATGAAAGGCATGAGATTGAATGAAGTTGGTCAGCACTTTTACCCTTGCTCCCTGAGTTCAAATCTTGATGTTCATTTCCTTTATTTGAAAGAGAGAGAGAGAAAGAGAGTGCGCGCGCACGCGCACTTGAGCCCTGACTGGTGTGGCTCAGTGGGTTGGACATCATCTCGTGGACCAAAAGGTTGCCAGTCCGATTCCAGTCGGGGCGCGTGCTGGGGGTGTGGGTCCATGGTTGGGGGGGGTGCGAGAGGCAACCAATTGATATTTCTCTCCCTTTCTTTCTCCCTCCCTTCCCCTCTCTAAAAATAAGTAAAATCTTCAAAAGAAAGCAAGCAAGCAGAGGTCACCTTTAATCTTGTGACGTATTGCTATTTTCATGAGTTCAGCATTTATCCATCCTTGAGCACTTTCTAACCTGCTTTCTCCAAATGTGTTTGGTCAGGTTTTGGGTCTATGCTCAGAGCACTTGGTGCTCAGATTGAGAAGACAACCAATCGAGAAGCTTGCAGGGACCTAAGTGGAAGGAGACTACGGGATGTCAATCATGAAAAAGCGTAAGAGGCCATTTGTTTTTGTTTTTTAAAGAACGAAACAAACTTTTCTATCAGTGGTGATTATACACATGCCATGCATATCAGAAACATCAACTTGAAATATTTGTGCTCTAATATATTGTCGTCAGATATTACCTTTTCCTTAATATAATACTAATCTTTGGGTCTTAGTTAAGTCCATGCCGTAGGCTAGTAAGTGTGGCACATGTTTCTGAGGGAGTATCACAATGTAAGCAAGAGTGCAGCCCTGGCTGGTGTGGTTCAGTGGATTGAGTGCCGGCCTGTGAACCAAAGGGTCATTGGTTCAATTCCCAGACAGGGCACAGGCCTGGGTTGCGGGCCAGGACCCCAGTTAGGGGCATGTGAGAGGCAGCTAATTGATGTATCTCTCACGCATTGATGTTTCCCATTTCCTCCAGCTCTTCCCCTCTCTCTAAAAATAAATAAATAAATAAACTTTTTTTTTTTTTTTTAAAGAGTGCATTAGTTTGGTGGGGGAGGGTGTATATAGATATAATATATCCATTTTTTCTCTCCCTCCCCAGAATGGCTGAATGGGTAAAACAACAGGCTGAGCGAGAAGCTGAAAAGGAGCAGAAGCGCCTAGAAAGGCTGCAGCGGAAGCTCACAGAACCCAGGCACTGCTTCACCAACCCCGACTACCTGCAGCAGTGCCACGAAATGGCTGAGCGTCTGGAGGATTCCGTCCTCAAAGGTGAGACTGAGGATTCCTTGGCGTGGTCAGCAGGCACCCCTGGGGCCAGCTGTTCGGACTGGTCCGCACTGCACACAGCAGGTTTCCAGCTTTTTTGGGTCACAGACCCCTGAGAGCGATGAAAGCTGTAAAACCTCTCCCCTCGATATTGAGCACAGCATGTCTTACAGCCTAGGACAAAAAAGGCCACAGACCCACATAGCATTTGATATACTTGACTCCTGAATTCTGTGGACCCCAGTTAAGAACACTGTATGTGGATAAGTTAAGTCTTCAGGAGGGGCCTAGACCCTCCACACATGTGCTTCCGGGTGTAGATCAGTTTTTTAAATGGTGTTAAATAAGAGTGATTGTCATTAACTTTATTAGAGTCTGGAGCATTATGCTGGGGCAGTTGCGGGTACAGTTGAATAAGAAGGAACCTTTTCCATCAAAAAAGGTTATGAGGCCACAAGGGAACAATGAAGGCACACAAATAAGGACCACAAAGAGGAGACTCACGGGGTGTGGGGGGCGGGTGGGGGAGGGTTTGAACCCAGCAGCCTCCTGTACAGATTGGACATTGGTGCCTAAAGTTCTGGTTCCAGAGCCAGAATGCTTATTATTTTAAATCCGTGTAAATTTGAGATTTATCTCATTTTAACTGAATTACATTTTGATACCTTAAGAAATTTAAATTTAGAGCTTTAGATTGCAGCTCTTTTGCAATCCAGATTATTCATACTTTCTCTGATCAGACTTAGTCCTAAGCGCAGACGCAAGTTGTTAAATTTCTGGCTAGGTATGCAGGCCGCCTCCAGCAAGATGGTGTCAGCAGAGCCCGGCGAGACTCGGAAGCGGCCGAACAAGTCAAAAACAGACAGAGGATCCAGTGCAGCGAAAAGGAAGTGCTTTTGGTAAGTATTTTTCATTTTTCATTCCAAATGGATCTTTGCAGATTGACAAGATGCATTTCCTGCTTGTCTCCCTGGCACAAGCACATCTTTACATGATGTTTGATGAGAGCTCAGAAATTTTCCTGGCGCTTCAGTCTTCAGAGGTCAGTGACCGTCACACGGTACACGGCAGTGATGGTTTCTGCTGTGAGTGCCATTAACAGAGTCTAAAGGACAATATTTTTCCTTACGGCGAAAGATTACAAAAATTGCCTTATACTTGAATTACTATTTGGTATCAAAAGAGTTAACTTTCAGAAATCCCCAGTGGAGACACCAGGGCTGTACCTTCCAGACGGTTCTGTTTCTTCCTAGGGTTTTTCAGTCATCCCTGAGTTCTGTGGTCACTTTGCCAGACCTCCCTTTGCCACTCTGGTGCTGGCGGGTCGGAAGCACAGCGGTCCCTCCTCTTAGCCATTCTTCTGAGAGCTCTCTCGCCCTTCCCTCGGTCCTCTGGTTCCCAGTGCGGTCCCTTGGGCCATGTTCTAGATAAGGCCGAATGGATCTTGCTTCCTTGTAGGCCTCCCGTTTGGGGACAGAAAGGTAATTATTAACTGAAGATCACCCTAAAAATTTCCCATGTGCCCCCTTGCAGTTAATTCCCTTCCCTTGCCCTCACCCCTGGCAACCACTGGTGACTGCCACAGTGTTTGTTCCTGTGGTTTGTCTTTTCCAGAATGGCATATAGCCTTTTGTGTCTGGTTTCTTTCACTCATCATTATGCTTTTGAGCTCTGTTGGTGGTATTATATGTGTTGATAATTCATTCCTTTTATTGCCAAGTCTTACTGAGTGGTGGGGCTGTACCACAGTTGTTTATCCATTGTCCAGGTGAATAATTTCTAACAGTTGAAATCCATGCAGTATAGGGAAAAAAGCTTTCAATGAAATCTGTTTTGTTTTATAAGATTCACAGCTTTAAAAAAGAGATCCTCTTGGATCCTTGGGATGGTTGGTTCCAGTCCCATTGAAATTTTTTTCCCTCTTTTTTATGCCCCTGAATACCTTTTTCTAAACTTACCTACTCTCCATGTCACGCTAGCTGTTATTTTTATTCAGACAGAGCCTGACCCCTGACCAAATGGCAGCGCGCCCCCTTTTTTTAAGTAGAAGCTATAAATGGTAATAAGTCTTTCTGCCTTGCCTGGCAGGTTGGGCGTGGACGGGCTGGAGGCTGCGGAGGGGTCCGGCTCCGGCTCCGGCTCCGGCAGCTCAGACGAAGACAGTGAAGAAGCACCTGGCACCTCAGGAGTGAGCTTTCCTGTTCTGAAAAGTGACAGGGACGGGGCTGCGACGGCAGCCGAGTTTCCCAGTGGTTCTCAGAAGGCAGGAGTATTGAGTGCAGACTGTGGCTCACCTGAAAAACCACAGAGCCATGTGACCGGCTCGGGGAACGGCATTGCAGGAGCCGTGCATGCTCAGCTGGGAGAGGCGGCTGCCGGGGACTGTGTGCGAAGACAGGCGGAAGCACAGGCAGAGAGCACCCAGGAGCAAACGGAGGCCGAGAGCAGAGGAGCCGTGGAAGAGGAAGCAACTGGGGCTGGACTGAGGAAGGAGAGGGAGACAGGAGAAGTAACCGATGGGGAGCGAGCGGCCTGGGCGACACCTGGAGCCGACGAGGAACACATGACCGTTGCTGCCACACCAGAGGACAGCCAGCCAGCAAGCACAGTGAGTAATTCTGGGGGCTCGTTGTGTCAAGGAAAATCAGTTTAATCTCCACAATAAGTGATTAAAATGAAAATGTGCTTTTCCCCAGCGGCTGCTTAGTGGAAAGGCTTGTTCAATAATCCGTATTTCAGAAGTGAAATACGGATAGATGATGGTTAGTTTGCCTTGTCCCCCTAAAAATCCTTAGTTTTGGGGTTTTTTTTTTGTAAGCTCCAGAATGTACATATTTTTGCCACTAGGTGGTGTCCTTTCACTAATTCTCAGGTGTATGTTTTTCACATTTTAATCTCTGAATTTGGACGTGAATCACATTAGAGCATAGTTGTATCACTTATTCTTAATAAAACCTATAATAGTAAGGCATATTAAGATAGATGGTATTGTAGACTTGATGAAATGTACTCATTTTCCTATGGTAAGACTCTCGTTACTCAGTGTTTCTTTCTCATGTGATACTATTTGAACCACACCTGTCAGCTGGATGTGAAGATTTTCGCTGTAGAAGGGAGCAGCTCGTTTTTAATTTATCTTTAAATCTTTAAGTCCCACATTTAGCCTTTTAAACATTTATTTTCATTGTACATACCTTCCCTCTAATAGTTGCTTATTTGCTGTCTTCAGGAGACTGACTTCCAGCAGAAATCTTTAACGTTTACTCCTTGATTTAATTATTTTGCTTTGTACAACAGATAAAAGTTGAACTACCTGGTTCCCTTTGATAAACACAAAGCCTATTATTTGTTTAACCAGCACCTTCCTTACTCCCAATAAATAAGCAAAATGCATAGATTGCCCGTTGGAGGGAGGACAATGGGATTTTCTATATTAAGGGCTTTCACTTGACCCTCATGTCATCTCTGGTGTTATAAGCATGTGTAGCTTTTATGTTACTTGTATTTATTAGGAGCTTTATCCTGACAAAAGCCTTGGAAAAATGAATAAAGGAAAATAGAATAAAACCTGATTTGCTTCCAGTCCCAGGGCCTTTGACCATGGACGTTTTGTCCTTGATGTTGTCGGAGTAGCCATTGTGTTCAGGACAACCAGGAGCGATTTCTCCAAAGACACTTAACTGACATTTTAGGATTTGGCCACAAATAGTGAAGCCAAGCAAGGTTCTCTCCAGAAATCTAACAAAGGGGCTTTAAAAAGATTAAGTAGAAGGATAAAGAGCCTGTCCCTAGCTCTCTTTAATATCTTAAAAAAAATAATAACTTACTGTGAGGAAATTATTGCTCTTTGAAAAACCCTTAGATGTGTAATTTTCACTCTTTGCAGGCCATCCATTGTTAGAAGTGTTAGTTTTGTCTCACTACCTCTCAGAGTTCCTGGTGGATAGAACAGTTGCAAGTCTGTTGAATCGCATTTGAATTTGTTGTGTGATATAAGAGGGGACTTTGATCATCAGTCTTAATTATTCAGTTAGAAGAAAAAGCATTAGGAGTATGGGATCAATAGATTAACAGACCTGGGAACCTCATTCAAATTAAGCTTTATTGGGAGCTGCTCTTTTCTGTGGTCATAGCATGTTGGGTAGGTTGGGTATATTTTGCTGTTTTAACTCTTACTAGAAAAATCAGAAAAGAGTGTCATGTAACCATTAATGTAATATTAAAAATCTGTACAGGAATCCTGTAACTTCTGTTACTGTTCTGAATGCTTGTTTCTAAATATATATATGAAAAATGGTTAGTATGTGTCTTGAGAATTCATGTGGAAAAACAGGTGATTATTTAAATGCAATAGCAAGATAAGGCAAAATAGCTGAAAATTCCTTGAGAAATAGAGTGTAGTTGACAGTTAAAGCTTTATTCGGAGAAAGAAACCTGTTTTAAATACTCGTTTCTTTTTTCCTTTCTCCCCGGCTCAGGCTATTGCTCAGGAGTCTCTAGATCTGCTGGCCTTCAGCTCTGTGGCGGAAGTGGAGCGTCTGGGGCTGGAGAAGCTCAAGTGCGCCCTGGCGGCCCGGGGGCTGAAGTGCGGGGGCACCCTGCAGGAGCGGGCCGCGCGCCTCTTCTCTGTGCGGGGGCTGGCCAAGGAGCAGATAGACCCGGCGCTGTTCGCCCGGCCTCCCAGGGGGAGGAAGAGATGAATGCCCCCCAGCTGATGTCCCACCGCTTCCCGTCCACCCCTTCCAGCCTGCATCGTGTTGGCTCTCGGCCGTTATTCTGGTTGATACTCAAGCTGATTTGTTTCGGAGGCTTTTTATGAGTGAGGCAACTGAAGACATATGCCAGGGAGCGAGATCTCAGATGCTCCCAAAGCTGACTCTGCAATACCCCAATTCTGGCTCTCGTCTTTCCCATTACTGCTTTTCCAGAATTAATGTGTGACACCATCTGGGCATGATATTTTTGAGGGAAGGTTTTTTTAATAACATTTAATTTAATAAACATAAAGTTATTCAGATTTTTTGTTTCATCTTGTGTCATTTAGGTAAGTTATATTTTCAAGGAATTTATGCATTCGACCCAGGTTGTCAGGTTTGTGGACATGTGTAGAGACTGCAGTGGTAACTTCATTTGCCTCTGAGTTTTAAATGATGTTCCTGAGAGGAAGAAAGGTTGATCTTCAGAGTATCAGCAGGGATTCTCTCTCTGTTCTATTGCAAGTGTGGTTACCACACGGAAAAGAGCCAGTCAATGGGAGGTCTTGGGCAAAGCTGGACAGTAAATAGTTATTTAAGAAATTACATGGCTATTCAGAGAGCTCACAGGGCTTAAAGTATTAAAGAAAAACATTTTCTGTGATGCCAAATTATGCCGCAATTTGCTGGCTGTCAGTTCCAGTGGGGGCAGGGGAGAGTTTGCAAGAGTGAGTAAAATACATATGCTCAGCATTTGGCTTAATCTTTCTGAGAGTGGCACAGACGTGGTGTTTGATCCTAGATGTCTGCGGGAAAAGGCCAAAGTCTCAACGAGAGAAGTGTATTTTAATCTTCACCTGAGGATGGATACACACGCACACATATACGTATTTTTATATTTTTAATTGATTTCAGAGAGAGAGAAAGGGAAAGAGAAACATCGGTAAGTTGCCTCCCATACCTGAATCAACCAGGGATCGAACCTAGGCATGTGTCCTGACTGCATCGAGCCCTCAACCTTCTGCTGTTCGGGACGACGCTCAGTCAGCTGAGCCACGTGCCAGGGCTACCGCTATTATCACCATCATCTTTCAGTAATATTTTGGACATTTGCCTTGTTTCATGACAGAAACAGCTGTATGGAGACATTGCTCTTCGTTTTTCATGGTTTCCATTTATTTTTTACAATATCTCAACCCTCCTCTTCTCCCTTTTTTGTCATGTCTCAAGTTTTTGGGGGTCCAAGTATCATTCTGCGACACGTCCTGGCTGATCCTTTCAGTGTTCTTATTTTTCATCTAATGCTGGTATTAGAATAATTGCTTTTTTAAAAGATGAAATGTACATGGTACACGTTCTGAAGGTGGCACATCTTCTGAACTGTCACATAGCTGGCAATGTTACTCTGTTGCCTTGCAAATGCAATATCTTTTCCTCAAACAATGGATAGTGTGCTATTGTTTTCTGGCATACAGTGTTGTGGAAGAAAAGCTTTATGCCTGTTTTGAGTTTCTTTTTTTAATTGTATATAATGTGAGTTTTAGTCCTTAGACACTACTCTTTTTTTTTTTTTTTTTTTAATCCTTCAAATTAAACAATGTTCCCAGGTTATTTCTACTTGTGGTCTCTTAATATTTCTTAGTATTGAGTGATGCTTTTGAAGTCTGAAGGCTAGCTTTTTATTTTAGACCATTATGTTCCTATTAATTTTTTAAATTTTAAATTAAAAAAACAATCCTCACCCAAGGGTATATTCATTGCTTTTAGAAAGAGAGGAAGGGACAGAGAGACACACCGATGGGGGAGAGAAACAACGATTGGTTGCCTCTCATGAGCCCCAACCAGGGATCGAACCCGCAACCCAGGTATGTGTCCTGACTGGGAATTGAACCCACAACCTCTTGGTGTACGGGACAACGCTCTAACTGACTGAGCCACCCGGCTAGGGCTACTTAATTGATTACTGCTTTTATTCTTTTTATGGAACCTCATTTTCTTTTTTATCCTATCTGCTGTTTGCAACTCATTGTATTTGTCAATTCAGCACTTAGGTTTTTCCCTTAAAAAATCTTGCTCCCTCTCCGATTAGTCCCTCCTTGTGCTTGCTTCCGTTTTGTAGATGTGCTCTCTTGGAACTCTCTATATATATGTTTTAAGGACCTCATGTGTCTTCTGATCTCTGTCATGGGGACGCATTTCCTCTGATACCTCAGATTGTTTTCTTTACAATTACTCCTTTTTTAAGTATGTTTGCCGGTGCGTGAACTTTGGTCTTCGAGGATGGGATCAGGTGTACAAGGGATTTCTTGAGGACGGGAGAATCCAGAGAAGCAGGTTTGACGCCCACGGAGGGAGAGGGCAGAGGGCACTGGGTAGGAAGAGTCTCGGGCTGCAGTGTAGTTCCATGAAAGTTTCAGCCAGGAGGACAGAAGTCCTCAAACCAGTCATCCACTGGAATGCAGTATCTCGGGGGGATGGGCCTGCTGCTGTACCCCCACCGGCTTATTGGCTAGAAAGTGTGGCCTGGGTGTGAGCCTAGTGGACCCAGTGGGACCCTCAGTCAACTGAGGTTCCCCCAGTGGGAGATCTGAAGGGTATGTGTTCATGGCTGCCACAGGATGTTTTCCTGTTGCTTAGGATTATTTTCTCCAGTTTGGATGCTTGAGAACAGTTTTCAAATTATGTGGCTATCTGTACAAATCTTAAAAAGCGCACTCAAAGGGGGAAGGGGAGTGTTTAGGTGGACAGGAGGTCTGCTTGGTCCGATTAGAGGGGTTTCCACTCGCGGGAGGTGCGGGCAGCCATGCCCTGCGCATTTCTCTGTGGCGGCAGCGCGCTGTGGGCCAGTCGGTGCTCCTTTCCTAATTGGCACCGTTAGCCCCTCAGGCTGCCAGCTCCCGCCGTGCCCTGCACCACTTAGCGTGGCAGTGTGAGTGGCCCTTGCTCCGCTCCCCACAGGCAGACGGACCTTGACTGGCAAAGTAAAAAGACTAATTCTGGGATGGCTCCTTTCTTGTAACATGAAATGCTGGAAGCGAGGAGGTTCACGCTGAACAGAGGCCGGCCACCCCACCACCCACGAACGTGGCCGGAGCTGGTCCAGCTCTCACTGGTCCCTGCGCAGGGGTGTTAATGGGCTTCTGCTGTGGGTCCGTGTCACTTACTGACTCTTTGGAGGTGGCAACCTTTCTCCTTCCCCAGTGTCTGGTGCTAATAGAGAGCTTCCTTGTTACATTCCTTTGGTCCCTTCAGTGGGCATTTGCAAGAGGGAGTTAAATACATGGCTCAGATTACCAGCTTGAACCAGAGGCTGTTAGTGGACTTTCAAGTGCAGAAAGTCCAGTAACTTACCGCCAGACGTTAACAATTCGGGGCTGGCCCTGATCAAAGGTAGGAAGGTGCTGTGTGTCAGACTCACAGTACTACTTGTGCATCCGAACTAGAATACGGGGAAGGGCACTGTGGGAGCCACGTGGCAGCGGGTCACGCAGGCTTCCCCTCTAAGCCGGCCACCCACTGACCTGTTCTGGGGAGAAGTCTGACTCAGGCCGAGCCGCTCTAAGCCCAGACAATGGAGAACTGATGTGAATTTTTTTTTTTAAATCATTTATTTATTTATTTATTTATTTATTTTTAGAAGGGAAGGTTGGGGGGGAGAAACATCAATGTGTGGTTGCCTCGTGCACGCCCCTTACTGGGGACCTGGCCCACAACCCAGACATGTGTCCTGATTGGGACTTGAACCAGTGACCCTTTGGTTTGCAGGCCGGTGCTCAATCCACTGAGCCACACCAGCCAGGGCATGATACGAATTTTTTAAATGCTGTGCTACTTAATGTTACACTTTCTTTTCGTCCGGTCTTCATAAGGTCCCGTTTGAGAATGACTATTGGTGCTGGATGAAATGAACCTACCTCCAAACTATTTCTGGGTGACTGATCCAGGATCACCCCGAGAATCTGGGGCCCTGAGTCACACGATGCTGGTGGGTTAAATCAAAGCATGTGCAGAGGCATCAGATGACTTCAGCTTTCCCTGGAATGCAGGCCATGTGGCGTGGTGGGCTTGAGGGCAAGGGCTGTACAGTCACTGATCTGGGTCCAAATCCTGGTTTTCCCACTTTTTTTTCTAGATTATTATTTTTTAGAGAGAGGGGAGGAGAGGGAGAAAGGGAAAGAAACATCAGTCAGTTGCTTGTCATATGTGCCCCGACTGGGGATGGAACCTGCAACCCAGGCATGTGCTCTGACCGGGAATCGAACTGGTGACCTTTCACTTTGTAGTATGATGCCCAACCCACTGAGCCATACAGGTTAGAGCTCCCACTTTGTAATAGCATCTCCTCAGACAAGTTCCATAACCTTTCTGAGCATCATTTCCTACCATAAGATGGGATCACATTCTACTTTGAGAGTTGTTAGGATTAAATAAGAGTCTATGTGAGGCACCTAGTATAGTGCTATGCAGCTAGTTTGTCACTGCTCAATAAATGGAAACTGTTGGAACATTAGAGAGGACCATTGGCCAACAGAAATACAATGTGAGCCACAAATGTAATCAGGAAATTTCTGTTTCTCATTGCTACATTGAAAAGTTCAAAAGAACAGGTGCAATTAATGTTCACAGTACATTTTATTTAACGCCGTATATCCAAAATACTTCAACATGTAACCAATATAAGAAAATTACTAAGATGTAGTTTACAGTGTGGGGAGATTTTTTGTCCGAGTCTTTGAAATCTGGTGTGTACTTTACACCTATAGCCCTTCTCAATTCAGACCAGCCACATTCAAGTGCTCAGGAGCCCCCGTGACTTTTGGCTACCGTTTTGGACATGGTTGTTCTAGAACACACCTAAGGCCAGGTGGCGAGCGCAGCCAACGGTCCACCTCAACCCAACCCAGCGTGTGCAGAGCTGAGTTGAGGAGGAATCAGGCTGAACCTCCTTGGGGCTCCGCGCGTGCTCACTGGGCAGTCAAGGGTCACACATACCAAGTGGAAGCGTCCTCCCTGTGGGGACACACATGTGCCGGGTTGGCTCCGGGGCTGAGCAAGTGGGGAGCTGTGGTTTGTGACGCTGGTCTGGGCTTGCTGGGGCAGGGCTGGGGGACCGGTGAAGTGCTCGATGTATCTGTTTGTGTCTGTAACTTGAACTGTTAAGGCGTGACTTGTATTTGCACTGGGTAATAATTAGGCTCTAGAAGACAACAGCATCATGAAATGAGAAAGCGGCGCATGTCAACGTATCATGAAAATGGGTGTTCAGTACTGAGACAGACACCCAGTGCTGGGACACTTCAAGGTGGCTTCGCATATGAAGGACCATTCATCTAGGAAGGCATGTCATGCCTCTGCCTGTGAAGCCCATTTTCAAGACAGCTCCCATGTTACCCCTCCAACGGTGAAAGGAAACCACGGGCTTGTTGGGGAGTTTACCCTGCAGACCTACAGTTTCTAGACTTGACTAATTGTACATGTCTGTCTGGGGGTATGCGCCCCGGGTCCTGTTGTCACCTGCACTGAACCCTCCGTTTGGCTCCTGTCTCCCTCTGAACAAAGCCTGCAAGCCCTGCACACTGACCTCATCCACTCTCTGCCTCCCCCACCTCGGCCAAGACGGCGCCTGGCTGTTCCCGAGCAAATCAAACCCACCGCAGCCCTGGCCGCTGAGCCCTGCACTGACTGACTGGC